CAAGATCCCTTCAGCATCAGAATTCTGTATATCTGTTACTAAGAGCTGTGTTGCCTGTTTTTCAGTATTTTAACTGTTTAAAGCCTAATAACAATTTACACTCATGAAAGACACAAGTGTATAAAACACATCTGTGACTCCATTTATACATTTCAATCTTGCCATAAGATCACATCCAACTGCTGCTCACCTGACACATTTGGACTTGCATTTTGTGTGCCTGATCTAGGCAGGACTGTCCAACCCTAACTGACCCAAGCAGGATAGTTGAATAACAAAATACAACAGTATGAAGCTCTCCTGTTGTCTCTTTTCTCAGAAGAACACATAAAAATAGACAGAGATGTGGATCTTTCACCTTGAAATTAGTACTTTGTTAAGCAAATGCTGCTTTTCTTATAGCAAACTGTGCATGAAGAGGTCACACCACATTGTAAATTTTGTTGAAATGGTTTGAGCAGGAATTTTAATGTTGATACACAATGTCAAGAGCTTGCTGTAAGTACTCAGAGGTCGAGTTCATCCCCCAGAGCAAGGAAAGCATTTTACAAGTGTCTTATCCAGTATCTGTCCGGCTATAACTTTAAATATTCCTATTGTTAAACACGTTTTGCCAAACGTTACCAAGGTCATTTTAAAAAAAAGCAGTAACAGTGGTTACTCTGCAATAATTTCACAACCCTAACAGTGATAAGAAAAGCCCAGAACTCACATCATGGATAAGTGTTTCCCCTATCAGCATTCCAAAGATATCTGTGAAGGTGACAGGCTGCCCTGAACTCTTCTTATTCCACAGGGCTTCGATGTAGCGTTTGACTTTCTGAGGAGTGAGCAGCAGGAGGGGGTTGTGGCTCACAGAGTTCATCAGCTCTTCATTGATCTCTTTTGGGCCCTTTGCTGGAAAGTCTGGGTGTGAATACAAAGTTGACATGTACCTGCAATGGAAAACAGGCCAAGCATCAAACCTGCTTCAGTGGCAGTTGCCTGAAAGCTACAATAAACTCATAAATAATTTGATACAATTACTGATCAAATCAGGTTAATTTACTTACCACTTACACAGTAAATTGTCCCTTCTTTTTTCTCCAGGCACAGAAAGCTAAACCATTTGTTCTACATGTAAGCACACAATCCAACATTCAGCATACACTGCCATATGTGTATGATGGAAATGATTAAAGTGTCCTCATTTATCTGTTTAAGGGATAACAGAAAGAATCCCCCTAAGCTGTAGAAGGAGCTCCTCAAGTCAGCACACTGAAATCTGGCAGACTGGAGGTCCCAGAAGTAGATACACACAGTTCTTTCACTGTAAGGTGTCCCTCTCCAATTCACTATCATTATCCAAAAATTCCTACAATATCTCAGTATATCACGGAATCCTGGAATGGTTTGGGTTGGAAGGGACCTTAAAGCCCATCCAGTTCCATCTGAGCAAAGCAGCTCAGATATCCTCCAAACACACTCCACTGAACATTTTAACAACACTAAATGCTTTGTCAAGACATCTGCACTGTTTTGGGATCCAGGGGACAATGTACTGTGTGGACTGGCTGAGCACCACACATAGGAACATCAAATCATGGAACGGTTTGGGTTGAGAGGGACCTGAAAGCTCATCCAGTGCCACCCCATGCCATGGGCAGGGACATCTCCCACTAGCCCAGGTTGCTCCAAGGTCCATCCAACCTGGCCTTGGACACTTCCAGGGATCCAGGGGCAGCCACAG